CAGAACAAAGAGTCTGCCATCAAAACATTAGCGAATCGTTCACACGAACTATCGGATTCCGAACGAAGGAAGCTATACAAATTTCAATCGCGATTTGAAAGTCTGAAGCAAATTATCGAGTCGCGAGTAGCGCTCGGTAACGCTTTTTATCAGGTGAGTTTTCATTCTTTGCTCATCACATGTTCAAATTCCTCTCACAAATATTATATTTCAATCCACAATAGCATATAGATCTGTGATTATCTTCATCATATGCAATTGATCCCAATTTCATTCGCTTGCCACAACTGATCAAAATGAATGGATTATCTAATTGTCAGATAATATATTTTTCATGACATTGAAATACACTGCATTTTGGATGTTAAGTAATCATCCTGAACCAGTTAGCGATTTTCAAAAAAAGAATTCGCAATGGAAAGTGCACTAAAGTCGCCATTGACGAGACAAAATCTCGAACTCAATAAAATTCTCAACAATTATTGGATTATTTGTGAGAAAAGTTTGCAGGTGCATAAATTTGCGAAAGAGTTGGAATGCTCATTCGAGAGTTTGGATGCATTGCTCAGTTCGAATCGTAATTTCACCAACCCGAAACTCACCGCACAAATGAACGAAGTTTTTAGGATGATTGAAGAGACGCTCACTCAAGAGAGACAACAAGGTCAAATCAACACGCCAAATTTTTTCTTGCCAACTTATCAAAATCAACAGAACCATTTACTAGCTTAAAAGAAGAGCAGTTGTTTTTTTTCGTGAGCAGTCCATTTCACAGTGACAATGTTTTGTACTTATACAATTGATCAGTTCATCAGCATCTATTCGGTCGAACTGACTTAAGGAAAAGCTTGCAAACAAGGTGGTATTGAATTCATTTAAGGCGAGAAATTTGTGTCATCCGTGAAAGAGTCAGCAAAAACCGATGCGAAGTTACGCGTCGAGAATGCGATTGAATGGGTGCACAACATGTTGAATGAACATGAACGCAGATTCTATACGGTTAACGAACACTGGCGAAACTGGCAAGACAATCGAGTTCATGAAGAGAAAGTTGTTCGTATGGTTGAGGAGGTAGGTACTGCTGGTTCCGTTCATTATGTGCTCGCCTCTTCGATGTATTCTTGCAATATGGCGTTGAACTCTTTGCAAGCAATTTCCCTGACTCTAATCAAAGATCTTCACTGTTGCCGAAACGCTTGTGATCAACCGAAATCCAAGAATCAGACGTTTTTGATCTCTTCACGAATGAACATTCTTACTTTCTTGCTTTCGTTCATAATCCCCGTAAATGAAGGAAGGCTGACTTGAAAATATGTTATATGGGAAACGGCATATTTTGACGAACGGTTCCCTTGTTCAGGTTCAAATGTGGCAAGAGGAATCAGTGGAGATCGTACGTATATTGATTGACAAAGCAAAACAGGCAAAAACAGAACTCGAACGGAAAGAAATCAAAAGGAAAATGGACGAAGTTATTAAGCAACTACCAAAACAAAAAGATCGATTACATGAAGCTGAACAGATCACAAAATCAGCTCAGAGTAATTTCCATCCCTTAATTCTGCTCCTTGAGCTCAAAGTTAATCTTACAAGTCATAAAAGATCTTTCGTTTTGTGCTGGAAGATATTTCAGAATTTCACTCTCTTTTGATTGATCTCGTGTTTGTCAGGTGACGAGGCGTTTGAACGTGTTGAAATGGCAAAACGCAAATGCCGCGATTTGGAGGAACGTGTGACCGAATTGCGTAGTACAGTTGAAACACTTGAGCAACTTGCGGTCCAGCAAGAGAAGTGGGTCATTATTATTCTTGCGATTTTCAAAATAGCAAGCTGATAAGTTGACAAAATCGTTTTTTCTTCATTCCAATAATATTTTTCGAATGATCAAGTGTTCGCTTTGCATTGATCGCTTGTTGTGTCGATAAAAATCGCACCGTAACCTATCGCTCATTATGATTCCAGAGAAGTAATTCGTGCACCTGTATTCACTGTTCAATTACGTGACGCTCAAGTCGACGAAGGCTCTCGTTTCGAGTTCAGCGCTTCGGTAGACGGTCAACCTACACCACACATCCAATGGCTCAAGGTCAGCATCGCTTTACTTCTTCTCGTTTCCACTTCTAGGCGAACTTTTTAGCATCACCAAGTGCCATGTATTGTTTTGTGAGATTTAAAGTGATGACACAATACTCAAGAAAGTATTCATATCAATTGATGTGATAGTAGGTGTTAGTTCAGTACTTCACTGCTTTGTTTCCCTCGAGTCGGACTTATGAATGAAGTTATAGGATGGAAGAGATGTACGGGATAATGTAGACTACCGACAGAATTATTCGAAAGGTGTCGCGACGCTAACAATTGAAGAAACCTTCGTTGAGGATACGGCAACTTATACGATTCTTGCTGAGAACACTGGTGGAAAAGCTCAGTCATCAGCACGTCTCATAGTAAAATGTTAGTTCTCACTTAGAAAACACTCATCTTGCTCACTCATCTATGATCGACTAATCGAAA